TGTGATTATTATGCATCTACATCATAAATAGGGTAATAGTGAACTCAGCTGCCTGAAGGTCTGCAGCAACAGGCTTGAGGGAACCCAAAGGTTTACAGAATTACAAAAACCCTAAGAAAAAATCCAAACAGGAGGAATGCAAAAAAAAAGGCACCTTCACTGTTCTATTTTCAGTGCTTGCTTGAATTTTTTGTTTAATCAAGCCTATTAAGCCACGTAGCTGTTGTTTTAATCTCTTTTACTGTTAGTTTTACTTATTTTAAAATGTTTTTAACATTTTTTATTGATGATTTGAATAGTTCTTGTAAACCGCTGTAACAGTGAAGGCTCGCAAATGCAAATATCTTGAAGTGGGAACTAGACTTTAAGAGTACACATCACCAGATCCTCAAATCACTGAGCAATGCCATTACATTTGAACTGACTTCCGAATTTAAAAAATTTACCCTACCTAATCAAATGCTTAATTTATTGCAGCTGCATTGACCTTCTCAGTTGCAACGGTATGATGAGACCCAAATGCAAGTAGAGCCAGATAAATGTTTTGCAACCTATTTGTTTTCACTTGACTTGCAGCGTATTTCTCATTTGCCACATTGTCTCTGAATGCCTTAAAGCAGAGCTTTCCAAACTTTTCAAGTTGTTGACACACTTTTTGGACATAGGAATTCAGTTTTGTATCATTTTGTGACACAGTAATTCAGTTTTACTAGCAAACTAGTGGTTAAACTAACCCTTTCCAGTCCCAGGAGCAGCACGGGGAGTGTTTGTGCAACACACCTACACACTGAGTTGACACACTAATGTGTTGCAACACACAGTTTGGAAAGCTCTGCCTTAAAGAAACTTGAGCCTCCAGCAATTTCTCTGGGCAAGGCCTAACCATGTATAATCAGTTTGCATTCCCCTACTACAAGAGCAGCTAGCCACCAATTTGAACATGCACCAAAACCCCTTTTAATGTCCTCAACACAGGTGTGTAAATAACATGGGGAACCTCATGAGTATCGTTCAACTGGCATTGTGTTCTCCCATGTAATGAGCAAATCAAATCAGGAGGGTCACGTGAGCAGCTACAAGTAGCTGGTGACAGTGTCCTTTGTGGTCATTGTCAGTTTCAGAAAGCGTAAGCCAGGCATCCCCCAACGCGTCCCTCCAGCTGTTTTGGGACTACAATTCCCATCATCCATGACCACTGGTCCTGTTAGCTAGGGATGGTGGGAGTTGTCATCCCAAAACAGCTGGAGGGCCGAGTTTGGGGGTGCCTGGCATAAGCCATCTACAGTATACAATGCCATTTTCCTCACAAATCAAGCATTCTGAAGAACACACAACTCAGTATGGGAAAATGCATCTGGAAGAGCAGGCTTTATAAAAGGATACTATGCTGGTGAATCATTAATCTGAAATAGTAAACTGATGCCTCGGCTCAGTCATCCATTGACTCTGGATGCTGGAAGTCTAACTGACTGGGGAAGGAGGGAACTTAGGAAGAAGCATAATATGAAGATGTAACAAGATAGCTTGCACCTATGATACCTCTCTACAATACCAGAAACCTGGCTGAGCTTCATAGGGTGTCAAAGATGTGACTGACACCATCCAGATAGCTAGACTGCCTAACCTTGCCTATCCAGCTCCTATTAACACAGCCCATATTTATGGTGTGGAAAGTAAGGATAGAATTTTTTTCTCCCTCTTTCATATGAAAGAGGGAGAACCTGAGGCCATCTAGCTGAGTGTTGTAAGATTCAAGGCATGCAAAATATATTACTCCTTCATGCAGCTCTTGGATAAACTATGGAGATCGCTCCCACAGGAACCACTGGTCACAAACATGGATGGCTCTAAAAGAGGATCAGACACACCCACACCATATATTTAAAGCACTTGGCTTCCCCCAAAGACTCTTGGGAAATATACAGTGGTACCTCGGGTTACATACGCTTCAGGTTACATACGCTTCAGCTTACAGACTCTGCTAACCCCGAAATAGTGCTTCAGGTTAACTTTGCTTCAGGATGAGAACAGAAATTGTGCTCTGGTGGCATGGCAGCTGCAGGAGGCCCCATTAGGTAAAGTGGTGCTTCAGGTTAAGAACAGTTTCAGGTTAGGAACGGACCTCCATAACGAATTAAGTACTTAACCCGAGGTACCACTGCAGTTCACTCCTACGCAAAACTACAACTCCCAGTCCCCTTAGCAAGCTACAGTTCTCAGGATTCTTTCAGGGAAGCTATGTGCTTTAAGTGCATGATGTGGATGTGACATTTCATAGATGATAAGGCTATCAATGTCCACCCGACATAAGGGCTATATGCTGTCACAGGCAGTATGCCTCTGAATACCACTTGGTGGGAATCACAAATGGCCACTGCTATCACACTTGAGTCTTGCTGTCTTGCTTGTGTACTTCCCATAAACATCTGGTTGGACTAGATGGGCCTTTTGTTTGATCCAGCAGAGCTCTTACATTTTTTATACTCCATTTCAAATAGCCAAGTTTACAGATTGGCTAACCCTACTTGGGAAGCGTGTACAGTTCATTTTCCAGTCACATACTGGGGAAGATCAAGATGTGGAAAGTCTGCCTTCGTATTTCCCTTCACACATGCTAGACATTTGTGGCCTGGAAGACCAACATTGTCCTGCATCAATTGGCTCTTTAAAAAACCACATTTTAACGTCCCTTTTGATGTCTTGTCAGCATTCATTGTTCCAAGTTGGCTGAGATGTGGATGCCTTTTGCCAATAGTTACTGACTTCCTCTATAAAATGGAAGTGTGAAAAGTCTCCCAGAAAGTTCCATTCACTCTTTCACTAGTCAGATCTGCTTCCTGATGCCTGGATGAAGCATGTGGTTTGTCTGAAGCTGCCCAGTTTCACTGAGTCTTTGCAACAGGTTGAAACAAAAAGAACAGTATGGGTCTGTTGGACCCTGCCTGTTATTTCGTCTTCTCCAGGCAACGTAGCAAAGCATTTGGCAAAATACTGCAGTTATATCTTTTCTTTAAATGCTATTCCTAATTGTATCTTCTCTATAGCAAACCTCTCATTTAATCCGAAGCTTGACTAATTGGCTATTTGTTTACACCCATATTCTTATGAATCAAACTTACCAAGAGCATTTGCTTAGGAACTTTCTTTTAAAAGGGCTGCCAACACGCCAGGTATTTTTCCCTAACAGAACAAGCCTATGTCTATTCAGAAGTATTTGCTGTTGACTTCAATTAGACTTTTTACCAAGTAATGGATTAGGATTGCAACTATACAATGTAGTAAACATGTTCTATCAGTGCAGTGATTTCTGCTTGCGCAATGGAGATTTCCCTCTCTCCTCCACCTATGCATCCCCTAAATCTGTTATTGGGTTTTCTATAGAGCAGATTTGGGGAGGTCCAAAACACATGTGAATGGGGGAGGGAAGTTCCATTGCACAAGCAGAAATCCTTGCACTGACAAAATGTGTTAGTTGGAAACTGCCCTAAGTGTATTAAATTCTGGCTTTTGAAGCATAAGACTACAGTGGCAGCAAATGTTGATCATTATTGGCAGTAGTCTAAACCACTGGCCAAGATAAGGTAGGTTAAAGTAAAGACAACAGGAAATTAAAAAGCAAGTAACTAGGTTTCAAAAATCATCAGAAGGCCGAGGAAAAAAATTATTTGATTTGCACAGGATGTAGCAAGCAGCAAGCTGAGTAGCCAGCAGGGAGGGGGCCTGTTACAATTGAAGGCAGCTTAGAAAAATGTAAATATGGAAAGTAAAGTATCTCTGTTTCATCTCTAGCCAGTGTTGGAATGTTTCATGAGATCTAACTTCAGTGAGAAACATCTACTATGCTATTAGTGATGCAGTTACTAGTTGAACCCATTAATAACAATGTTAGCATGGTATGCAGAAAAGTATCTTAATTAACTAAAAGCACTTTCTTTGACTTCTTAAAAATGATTCAGGTAGAAAAGAATGCAATGGCATCATGGCTGACATTCTGCAAACTACACACCTCGCATATCTAGCTTAGGGAGAGGGACAACAGCTTGGTGGTAAACATGGTCTACATACAGGAGGTATCCCAGGTAATGGGAAAGACCTCTGCTTTTGACCCAGGAGAGCATTGCCTGTCAGAGTAGACAATGCTGAACAAAATGGAGAAATAGTCTAGCCTGGCAAGAAGCAGCTCCCCATGTTCCTATGATATTTTCCTCATGATGCATTCCCATCTGTGTCTACTCCCAGGTCTCATTGAGTTCAGAGGACTTACTGTTGGAAAACTGTAGAGAGTTGAAGACTAAGTTAAGAATTCCCAGGAACTGAACTACGGTAACTCCAGATTTGGGGATGCTCTCAACAAAGTGCCCTCTGAGGGTCAACTTCCATGTCAGTGCTTCCCAATCAGGCCAGTGCTACTTGAGACCAGTGGCAGATGACTATGACCTACCATTTCTAATTTCCCACAATGTCATGGAACTTCTAAAGTAACTGTGTCAGGGCATTGTGGGAAATATAAATAGGTTGTCATTAAAACTTCCCACAGTGCTCCAGTGCATGGTGGGAAATTTTAAATAGCCTGCTGACCAGCATAGAGTACCCAAAACAGGTGATAGTTGGCCCTGCTCAATCTCTAACTGTTCAAGGTTGCTGAGGGTAGTGTAAAAAAAACACAAAAAGCCAAGTCTGCATTGTTGCTGACAGGATTATTAAAGTACATGTTGACTTTAAAAAAGCAAAGTTAAAGACATATTAAAATAAAAGTGAATTCCATAAAAACTGTCAAAATCTTGGTTTGACTATAATATTAATTAAAAACTTCATTCATTCCACCTCTGGTGGCTGCCATCACATCTAAAAGGTTTAATAGTGACATTTTTTCCAGTTATAAAGTCATTTTTTAAAAAGAAAAAAATCTGCACTTGTCTACTCAAAATTAAGCACCATTGATTGTATTGGGATAAAGTCTGGACGAGGAGACATAGGATTGTAACCTTAAAATAAGATTTCAGTTTAAGTCATTTTATTATAAAAGAGACACAATATTTTTTAATCCATTTTAAGAGCAATTATTTCATTTTTACTCACGTAAGAGGGCTTAGATTCAGCAGGATCTTTTCTATTTTTCCACTTCCCTCAAAGATATAGCCCAGAACAGCCAGAAATGCTTTTGCATTAGCATATTATTGTCAAAAAGTTGAAACAAAGCCCAAAGGAATTTTCAGATCTGAATCTATAAAATGCATCCGCATCTTTAAAGGGTTTACATCATTATATGGCATTTTTTGTTTTAAAAGTTTAAATGGTATTGCTGAAATGACCAAACAACTACTCTGTTGTTAAAAGTAGGTTTAAGAGGAGTCTAGATTAGGCTGGGTGCATATGAATATAACCACAATGCACTGTATGTATATGTTCTGAAAAAATAGGAAAACATTGGTTTAGACTCCAAGATAGCATACCTGGATTTAAACTAGAAAATACGACACAGAATGAAGCTGTTGATTCCAAGAACAGTCTAGAAGCATCCATGTCACAACATAAATAACTTGCAGAGTTAAATCTGATTAGTAGTTACCAAGTCTTAAGGTACTTAATAAATAACTAGGTTTAAAAGATTGACCTGCATCCATATAAATATCTTGCACTCACTGTAGGTGTTGACTTGTAAAGGCAACTTGAAGAAGAGCTAAGAGAACATGGTTTCCACTTGTTGAGGTTCTTTTAAATTAACTACATGTTGCTTTGAACGGCAGCTCCCTGAGATGGATAGTTAACTTGAACTGTAGTGCAATCTACCTCTCACTGAAGTCCATGAGAAAACTGTCTCTGGTTTTAAAAGGGCTCAGTTCAATATACAGTGGGCACAGTGCCCATGCATAGCAGGGCATAATAGAGCTCTGAGTTCACACCCTCTTGAGTGAGGGGATGGCCTGGAAGCAAAGCAGGTCTGGATGTGGTTACTGAACGGATGGCAGAGATCCTAAGAACCCCTTGTATGACATTTGTGTTCCAGGATATAAATGTACAAAATAAGTATGGGCCTGTCCCTGTGCACCACAGGGGGAGAGTGGGGAATACAGGCCTGTCATCCCTGTAGTGAACTAGATGCCTACCCCCCCACCCCTCCAAAAAAGATAATGGCAAGAATCGCTCCATATACAGTTTGTGTGTTGCAAAATAGATGTTAGCATTAAATTCTAGTAGAGGCACAACATAAAAACCAGTGAAGTCCATCTTAGTCAATATATTTGCTTATTTATTTTAGAATATACTCTACATCTGAATAAAAAAAGTTTTAAATAAATCTTCAATGCATGTACAACAATGAGGCCCTTTTATCTTTTCATTGAAATAGGGGTGCACATTAGTTAACTGGTTCCATCCTCTGCAACTGAGTATAAATAGTTCTCAAGTAGCACAATTGCAGCCTCATATAGACCAGTTCAATGTAATGTGGAAAGGTAAGTAACTTTACTTAAAGGAGAACAATAACTGTTCACCTCGCTTGTAAAAAAAAAGTTTAATTAATAGTAATGAATGTACATCCTTGTGCGTTGGTAAAAAATAAGACGCCTGCAGATCTAGGAGCATGCAAAGAGAATTCTTAAGACTTTATATACATATATATTAACGTTACAAAAGTAGTGCAAAACATGAAAGAAGTGATGCAATCGCCACTACTATTGCCGCCACCACACATGTGCGTGCACACACATTTTCCAGTGATTACAAACACACTCTTTCAGTAACTGGCCTGGGCCACTGTACATCATTCCGAGTCCTCAGAATCTGGAAATATTATACTCGACTACCTGGTTATGCCTGCTACACCAGGCAGAGATTCATCACCCCGCCTCCATGGATGTTCAGCGTTGCCAACAGTAAAACCCCACTAGGATATGCCTAGCAAGAAAGCCAGTCCCTTCCGCCCTCACATTCTTCTCCGAGACACATACAATTTTACATCTGCTGTTATGCTCGCCACTGGCCCCTGAAATGCTCCTTCTCTGCTCCAATTACAAAGCCGCATAAGAGCATTTGCTTCTCTCGCACTCAGCACAGACAAACACACACACTTTCTTCCCTAGCCCTTTACAAACTCAAACGTCCTCTGACTTTCTCACCCCGGCAGGCAGGCAGGCAGGCAGGCTGGCCGCGTCCTCCCCCTCCCGGGCTCAGTGTCCCCAGTTATTGCCTCCGATCTCCTGCTTGTACCGGTTGGTGAGGACGTTGGCCTTGCGCGTCAGTTTGGAAAGCACCGTGTGCAGTCCGCTCAAGTGGTAGTGAAACTGCTTCTCCAGGTCCTCCTCCACCTCCTCGTCCTCGGGGAGCCCTCGGCTAATGTCCACGGCGCCGGGCCCCCCGTTCAGCTTCTCCTTCTTCCGGCTCGCGGCCTCCTCGCTCGCCTGCTGCAGCACGCCCCACTCGATGTCGTTGCGGATGGACTTGAGCAGCACGTAGTGGCTGTACATGTCTCTGCAGGAGCAGTAGGCGCCGCCGTTGGGGGTCAGCGAGGCCTCCGGCTCCCCGCCGCCCGCGTCCAGCTCCTCCAGCAAAAGGGGCACGTCCCGCAGCAGGCTGGGCACCATCACCGTCTGGTCCATGTTGTTGACGGCCCCGATGAAGCGGTTCATGGCGTTGAAGAGCGAGTGCTTTTGGCTGTACGACTCGCAGATCTGCATCATCCTGGCGGCTGGCGGAGGCGCGGCAGGGCAAGGCGGGCTGCTGGTGTCGCAGGAGGAAAAGGGCGCCGAGCAAGACTTCGGGGAGCAGGAGCAGCTGCTCCGATGGGATCAAGGCGAGGCCCGAGTTTAAAAAGGCGCCAAACTGATGAAAAGTTGCTGCTTTCCTTTCCCGCCTTTGGTTTCCTTTCTCAGAGAAAAAAAGCGAGCGTGTCGGCTCTTTCTCCCCCTGGCGCAAGGTATCTCTTTGCCAAGGACGAAGCCGTCTTTCCGCCCAGCTTCCCAGTAAGTAGTTGCCGGCTGGAAGCAAGAAAGCCTCTGCTGCAAGGAGTGGCTGCGAAAGAGAACAAAAGATGGCGATTAGGACCAGCCCCGTGCCTTGCCCCAAACCCTCAGCAGCAGCAAGCCTCCCTCCGCTTCCCGCCCCGCTCCAAGCCTTTCTTTATGCCTCAGCCTCTTCTGACCCCAAGCTTGCTTTGTGTTCCGCCCCCCACCTTCTTAACGTTTAGAGCTGCGTTCAAACCCAGATCTTATTTCATCCAGGAGAGAAAATGGGATGTGGGCGAGGAAACCACTTGAATAAGCATCTCCCTGCCCCCGCCCGCCCGCCAGATCCCATCAATGCAAGTACTTCCGCGCCTCTAGAACTCCGTTCTGAAAACCTCTGAGCTAATGGAAAGTGCTTCTGAGCAGAAGCAAAGCGCCTGAAAAACTGCCGTCTGCCCTCGGTAGAGTTGGCAATAGGCTCCCATCCGGAGAAGCTGGAAACTCGGCATCCTCTTGCCTCGTTTGTTTCCGTTGCAGACCCCTTTCTCGCCAGACCCACCCCAGCCGCTTGCATACCGACACAGGCGAGCCTGCAAGAGGAAGCCGACCGCGGCTCACTCCGGTTTTCCTCCCGCCTAAAGGGAACTGCCTTCCAGTCCCTCCAGGCACTCAGTGAAAAGAAAAAAGGCTGAGCTGGATTGAGGAAGCTCTGCTCGTCAGCCGTGGCCGAGCCCCCTTCCCCGCCCCGTCGACCTGACCCAGCCCCAGAAACAAGGCACCCAGGGGCGCACAGCTGTTCGCCTGCAAGCCGGCAAAAGAACAAAGCCGAGCCGAGGTGCGTAGAGCAGCGCTTCGCCGCCTCCCCACTCACTCACCGGGCTCGGAGCGGCGGCTCACACTGGCTGCGTCTGGCCGGCTCTGCGAGCGTCCCGGTGTCTCGCTTCTAGCTCTGCTCCCATGCTCTGAGCCAGTCGTATTTATAGCGTGTATGTTAAAACAAGGTGTTTCCAAGGGCCACCCCCTTGCAGTGAAGCGGGGCGGAGGAGGCGTCTCAGTCCGAGTGACCACATGTAACACCGGGGACGAGGCGGCGGCGGCTCCGCCTCTCTCCCGGCGGCACCCAGGAGGGAGGGAGGGAGGGCGCTGCGCGTACCCGGCGACTGCTAGTGGCAGCCGGGGGAAGGGAAATGGTCGAGCACAGCCCCACACACCACGAGGAGACCGAAGGAAAAGAAGGCAGCTCCGAGAGGCCCAGCTCTTACTTGTGGGGAAGGGGGCTCCTCCGCCAGTAGTGGAGAAGCGGTGCTAGGCGTCGGCGCCGATTTGGGGCGAGATCATGCTCGAAGGCAGCGACAGAGTGATCTCACCCGAAATCAATCACATGATGCGGGGTGCACACACTATTTGAATGGCAATACCTATCAACTGGCGGGGCAGCCCCCTCAAATATTTTATTGGGGGGCCAAAGGGACCTCACGCCCTAGGAATTGGCTCCTATGATGCCTCAGATCACACTGTGCAAGTTGCAACAGTAGAGTGGGAGTGCAGGTGGGGGCAGGAGTGACAGGGTAGTACAGTGGTACACTTAATTTGTTCTGGAGGTCCGTTCTTAACCTGAAACTGTTCTTAACCTGAAGCACCACTTTAACTAACTAATGGGGCCTCCCGCTGCTGCCGTCGCGCGATTTCTGTTCTCATCCTGAAGCAAAGTTCTTAACCTGAGGTACTATTTCTGGGTTAGCGGAGTCTGTAACCTGAAGCATATGTAACCCTGGCTACCACTGTACTTATTTTGCCCCACCACATATCCACCCCTGGCACAGAAGCACGCCACCAACTCTATGGGGGGCATATGTGAGGACAGGGCTGAGTGTCCCCCAATCTTGAGGGGCCAGGCCGTGGCAGCAGCAAGTCTCATTTGGCTTCCCTGTGGTGGCAGAGGGCCCCACCAGGCCTCCATGCAGTGGCAGAGGGGAGAAGTTGGCAAAACAAAGCAGGGGTGGTTTTTACGGGTTTGACCCTGTCCTCTTAGGTGTCTGCTTCCTCTTAAGGCAGTATCCTGGCTGGTGCTGGCATGAAAGTAAAAGGTAGCTGGTGGATAAGGAAAGTCATATCAGTGCCAGAGTAAACCCTGTGGAGGCCCCTAGGCAGGATAAAATTGAACTAAGAAAGTTTGATTGTAATGTTATTTTAAGATCATATCAATATTATTTTGTTCCGTTGTCAAGGGGTGTGGGGCCCATAGGCCAGTGCCTACTTTGCTCGTTTGGTAATCCAGCACTGATTCATATACACACTCTCAACCCGGTCAGCTGTAGCCTCAGGTGGTGAATGCCCCCAAGATGCACCCCCACAGATGCCCTGCCTACTTCTTGCAAGATGTCTGCCAGGAGTGGGTATGTGGCAGGGCGTACTGTGTGGGTGGCAGTGGCAGCAGCAGGTATGGCGGCACTGGTGGTGGTGGCAGCAACAGCAGTAGCGGGGTGGCACTTCCTTTTTCACCGCTTGAGGCACCATGCCTAGCACTCCTGCACCACCTACTCTGCTGCTGTGACCGGCTGTGTCCCCCAGTGATGGAGAAGTGGTGCCAGAAATCAGCACCAGTTTTTCGGGAGATCACCCTGATTTCTGGCATTTTCTCGCCTGAAATTGGCACTGATGCTGGCAGCATAGCTGGGTCTGCCCTGGTGGAGCATGCCATTAAGCCCAGCAGAGTGACGATGACTTTGGAGTAGTGAGAGGCCCTTACTGCACCACACTGAGCCCCAAACACCTCTCGTTTCAGAAGTAAAGATGTCCTTTAATCCCAGACAAAAGGCCAGTTTGCTGTTCCTCCACAATTTCCTATCACAGAAAAGGAGTCTCCAGAAACAGAATTCAGTTTATTTTTGTTTCCTGGGATCAATCCAGATAAGAGGCAGGGAAATGCTGAGCAGTCAGTGGGCGGTTTTGTTTGTTTTGTTTGTTTCATTCTTAATGGAAATGTGGAGACAGCTCTGAGGAGCCACTTAACCCTTTCTAGGCCGGAACAATGGGGGGGCAGCTGACTGGGGACCTCGCTAGGGACCAACTGCTTTTTTTGTTTGAGTTTCTAACTTTAGTCTAACAAGACTCTCTCCCCCCACCCCGGCCTCAGGAAAGCTCTGACCCTTTCCCACTGAGCCATTTGCTGGATCAAAATAATCCCCAGCTGCTTCTATCTCCCAGAGGAAAGATTTGGGGTGAAAGAGTGCAAAATGCACCAACATTGACTTTTCATCCTCACCTTACCCCAGACAAGAAAATATGAAAGAAGTCTCTGGTTGCTTCCAGGCAGGGCTTTGTTTATTTCATCTCTTATCTGTTCTTCACGGTAAGGTTACAGGGTAGCTTACAATAGAAAAAAAAAACAAGTCAAGTGCAAATTCCACTATAGTCTTATAGTCCAGGGATGGGGAATGGGAGCCCCCACCCTTGTTTTTGGAGTTAGCATAACTAATAGCCTGGGGTGATGGGAGTTGTAGTCCAGCAGCATCTGAAGGGCCACAACTTCCCCATCCCAGTTTTGTTCCTTGCAGGTCCAGCAGCTTTAAATTCCCCCATCAACCCTGATATAGACCTATGCAGATTGTAGGGAGCAGAGAATTTTTATTAAACACAGACTACTCAAGTTTTCCATGGCAAGAAATATCGGTTGCAGTCAGTTAGCAGACAGTAGGGGTCTGGAGAGAGATGTACATTTTCTCATACATCCATATTTACTTGGAAGCAAGCCCCACTTGGTTCAGTGGGACTTAATACTCTTTGGGAAACGTGCATGAGGGCAAAGTTACTTCTCGAGCCCAGATGGAAGAAACGATACAATACAAACACCCCGGGGTTGTTGTTGTTTGGGGTCGTCATCCTTCTCCCTATAAAAGGAAGGTTGTTTGTAACGTCCCCACCCCAATCTGGGGGAAAATGGCGAGCAAATTTCGTCTGATCCCTTTCTTACCCACGGGTGGGGGTTGAAATTGTGCTTTTAGTTTCTATTTGTATCTTTTTGGCCGCCTAACTTGGCTTCTTGTTTCACATTTGGCAGGGCTGCCAAGTACATCTGCCTCGACTTTCTACGACGGGAAGATCCCGGCAAGCCTGAATCATGTACAACTGGGCGTGCACTCGGTGGTTTTCCACGCCTCGGCTGCGTGAACACCACCCTCGGCCAAACTGGACACGCCGGTCCCGCGTGCTCCCCAAAGCTGCACACACGCGGCGCGCCGTCTGGAAGCCCCGTCGGAAGGACAAAAAAGGAGACGGGAGCAGTACGAAGCTGACACGGATCGGCGCGCGACGCCGCGAGGGGTAAAGGAGGACACTCGAGCACGAGCGCGCGCGCCCTAGAGCCTCGCGCGCGGCCTCCCGGAGCCGACTCCCGCTCAAGTCCGAGAGCTAGCCGCCTGCCCGGAATCACCCCACAGCCTCACCTCCAGCCTCAGCCAATCGGCTCTCGTCCTGCCTGTCATACTCCGTCCTCATATGCTAATAAGCAAGGCTCGGCGAGGCCCAATCAGAAACAACGCTCGCATTCTCTTTCTGCTCCAGCGCCCGTGGCAACAAAGGAGTGGCAGCTGAAAGAGCAGCATGAGGGTCTCGTGGCGGGGAGGGGAAGGGAATGGTAGCTGAGTGTGTTGCCCTGGCAACCTATAAACCACAATAAGCCAAGGCACCGGGACATAATGGGCCCTTATTTCCCGCACACTCTTACCGCGCTTCCTCTGTAAGAAAGGAACGGAATAAACCTCTTATATTACTTACAGCCTCCTAGACTCATTTCATCATTATACACCCTCACATAAATCAATACCCACAAAAATATAGCTGGCATAAATGCTGGCTTACGTTATCTAAAGCAGAGTCAGTGCATCTGCAAATGTAAACGATTATGGTGGGAACAGTTGCTGTAGGCGTAAATTATCCGATGGGAAGTTCTCCTGCGCACGCCCCATTGAAATAAATGGGAACCGCTGGCATATGTTCGTGCATTGTGTATTCCGTTTGTTATAAGTCCCTTCCAGGGCTGATTTTATTAGTTCGTTCATAGGCATTTATAACTTGGCCTTCACCATGGAATCCCAAGGTGGGTTACACACAGCCCAATACAATTACACCATGTAATGCATATTAAATGGTATTGTTACCATTACTAGTGCTGTTATTTCATTATAACAGGGCTTGAGTAAAGAAACTTCCCAGTGTTTTATTTGTGCCCATTTTCTTCCAGGAGGGGGGTATTGTAGATTTTGTGTAATAAGTCTAATAGAAAAAATAATAAACTGGAAAAAGCAAGGAAATAATTCAATGGTAAATCACAAGAGAATTCAGTTGGAATTGTGCAATGACACACAGTTGAGAGTAAACAATACATCTTTAGCAGCAAATTGCCAGAAGTTGTAAGAAATCTTTCAACACATGAAAAATGTTAGGTCATACTACTGACACAGAAGAGGGAACATCATATTCTGGCTGTGTTTTCTTCTATGTAATGACTGTTTAATAATTACTGTACTAGTATAAATATTTTTTATTTTCTCCCCCTAGCTGCCTACTAGACACCCACCCATGCAGTTTTCTTAACCATATATATATATATATATATATATATATATATATATATATATAGTTTGCAACAAATGTAGCAAAATAGGTACAGATGTAATATATAGCGTCATTATATGTATGTGATGGTTTATGAAAATCAGCATAGAGGCTTAGAGAAGGAAACAGTCAGGACTTTATTTTGTCTAATTCCTTATATCCTGTTATTCCCCCCCCCCCCTAAGCAGCACATAGCTTAAATCTGCACATCATCAAAAGGGACTTGAATTTGGTTAGTTTCCTAATTCTGAAAAAGAAGAAAAGTTGCAAACATATGTTTCTGATATGAAAATCAGCACGTACAAAGATTTTGTGGAGGCTCTGATGCCCGCTTGCTGCCCTCCTATAGTTGTGCAAAGAGTAATCTGTGTCCCAATGTCAACATTCTTTACCATTCATTTATCTTTTAACAGCAGTTCTTTGGGGAAAGCAGTGAGGAAGCTCACGTATTCATTACCAGATGAAGCATGGCATTCCCCAGAGATTGTTTTTAGAGGGAAGACTTTGAAGCGTGATGTTTTGTTAACGACTAAAGCGCAGGTACCGAAGGATATACTGAAGGGCTGTCTGCATAGGAACTTCCTGCACAAACACCCCATGAGATATATAGGGCACCGTACCTAAGAAATGAGTAGCATTACGGCAAGTGTTAACCCCTATGTCAAAAAGAAGAGTGCCCTTTATGGCTCAGGGCACACTCTTCTGCAGCCAGCTGACAACACCTGTTTGCAATATCCTAAAAGGAACTAGCCCACACAGCTTCCTTGTGTAGGTTCCTCTTCAGAGGTACTAGAGGTGTGCAGCCAACCCATAATACTGCACAAGGGGATGGAGGCAATTCCCTGGATCTAAACAGCTCTCAGAAAGAGAGTCTTGTGGCTTCATATGCCCAGAATGTTCCACTGCAGTGAATACAAAAGGAGCCTCCCTGAGGTAACAAACCCACTAGTCTTAAAATGTGTGAGTTAGACTTGTGGCCTACCTATTGTGGGTCCCAACAGCAGCCAGCTACCACATAAACCTTTGGTAAAATATTAAGAAACGTCCACAAAGGTATGTATGGGCTACAGGTGGGTCTTGGACCTAAACAAAAAGTTGAATATTGTGCTAAGAAACAGTACTGTATTAGGGGCTGTGATCTGAAGGGATCAGTAGCTTCTCTGCTTTTCAAGTTCACAGCTGCTGACTCTATAATGCTGTTCACACAAGTATACTGTTATTGTTGAATCAGGTGTGGGGGGGAGGAAATAGATTCAGGGTGGATTAATAAAGAAATAATTTGTAATAAATGAGGAACTGAAATAGAATAGTGTACAGTCTATTAACCAATGGTCAGGTATCAATCTATTAGCCTTTGATTGCAAATGGACACTTTATAAAAGGCAGGTTGTATTATAATTTGTCTCTGGGTAGCTAGAACCTATGTCTTTCCTTATTCTAAACATAATTTGTTAGGAAGAAGCTACCTATTTTGTCAAATGCTGCCCTGCACTCCTTTTATTTTCCTGACACCCTTTACTCAAATGCCTTGTTCCTTAAAGTCTAGTTACCACTGCCACCACCCAAAAAACTGGGAGAGGAATTTGTGTGTTTCAGCAAAGCTTTATCGTCAAAAGCTTAGATAGCAGTGCCTGCCAGTACCACTTTGAAATTAAAGGTAGTTATAGATATTTTTTTTCTTTCCTTTTTAAAAGCTTTCCTACACATACTATGGCAGTGACACCTGTAAGGAAAAAATGAGCCCTCAAGTAAAGAAAACACATTTTTTTCCTGGAAATATGACACAAGGCTCAAAGAAGCCTGAAAAGAAGGCCAAGAAACCCAGATTGATTTTTCCGAATGAGGCCTATCTTCCCTGTTGAGAAGCAGTGACCATTAAGTGTAACTTTCTTCACTTATCTATATTTTACAGACTTGTAAATCTGCAGAGTGTGAGGAGAACAGAAACTAAATGTGAACCTCCTTCTTTTCTCTCAGACTTCTATTTCTGTTATCTATGTAGGAGCCTCCAAAAGTAGCATTTTGTTGAGTTCACATCCTTCCCTTTTTTAAGGTTTGCAACTTACTCTTATGCCTTCCTCTTTTTGCAAACCACTCACCACTGTTAGCATTATCCTCACTTGATGTTCTTGACCTTTTTCTGTTCTCTAACAGCACATTGCTATACATGTCTACTCAGAAGTAAGTCTTCTTGAGTTCAGCTGGACCTATACCCAGGGAAGTGTATATAGGTTTGCCGCCTAAAACTGTACATTATAGAGTCTTTTTCTTCCACCTTAGGTGCCAGGTGTTGTAGGACTACAACTTCCTTCATCCCCTTACCATGGGCAGTGCTGGCTGGGGCTAATGGGAGTTGTAGTCTAACAACATCTTGAGGACATTATGTTGGATACCCCGGCACTAGTACCTTTAAGCTTGCCATATGGTTGTCCACGTTAGGGGTTGCTGATTATGTTTCTTGGTGACTGTTAACAACATATATCTACACTGCAGACTTCAACTGGTTTAATACTCACTGTCCATGTAGGATTTTTGTTGAGGGGGGGCAGGCCTTTGGGGGGGGGAGAACCTCAGTTTGCTATGTATTTTTATTGATTTTTATTGATTTAGAGGGGACAGCTGCCCCTCCATCCCCCCCCCCCGGCTATGCCCATGACTGTGTCTCTTCACAGAACCCTGAGTACTATAGTCTTGTGAGGGCGCTGATACAGAACGTTCAGCCTCTTGAGCAAGCTACACTTCCAAGCATTCTTTTAGACTTAGAGGATGTCTTGCAAGTTAAACTTGATTAAATTGATACAAGTCATTTTGGGAAGCTCACAATGAATCAGATGAGGCATCAAAGGCCTTTGGAGTGAAATAGGATGCCCTTGCAACAACTTGTCCCTTCCTCCCACTCAGGAACCTTGCGGAAACAGAGACGGGCTGTGTTTCTCTCATGCAATTGGTGAGAGGCATCAGCACCACTGCAGGGGTGTGTTAAGTTTGTAAAACTGATAAGGCAGTGGGAGGGCCTGGGGAAGGGAATGTGTTAACTCCCCAGCTGCTAGGCTTGTTGTTGCTCAGGAGAAGGGTTCCTCCTCCTTTCCGAGCCTGAGGTGTTCAAGTATAACAGAAACATCGCCACCCGACCCCACCCCCACCCATCTTCCCTCCCTCCACCCTTTCTTTTTTTTCTCTCCCCCTAATGTCTCAACAAATGAAATGGATTTGTAAAAATGTTACATGGAAAAAAATATGAGAGACATTACACTTACTTCTGTAAAACAAGAAAATCTTTAATTAAAAAAAAAAAATTCAAAAAAATTCAAGTTCTTTGTAATGCCATTGACCAAGTCAGCTCTTTGTCCTTTGTCACACAGCCCTTACACTCCCCACTTGGAGGAACAAATTTATGCATTTAAGTTTGAGGTGTTGTAGTCTATACTGTGATTCTACCACCTCACTTTCATGGTGAGGTGTAGTCCCTGTAATAAAATCCCTGACATTGTATGATACAGGAACTGTCTCAAAAATACTGTTTTCCCAGATGGTGTCACAATTTTGTATAAATGCCTTACCACATGAAAATAAAGATGGAAATGTCCATATGCTGGATTTGCCACCTCCCAAGAAAATGGGCCTATGTCTTTAATTTCTTTTTCTTTTTCAAGCCTCAGTGCTAGTCAGGTATATATGCAGGCCACAACTAAGTTGGTTAGAGATGCAGATTTTATCGGAAACCTATAGTCCAACAAGTGACCATGCAGCCCAGCCCTGCAAGGGCAATCTATATGCAGAAGCCGTGTTCAAGATACAGATCGCCTTGCTGGATGCACACACACAAAAAGAGATGTGTGGTACTGGGTAGAAAATAAATCCTGCACCCATTACATAGAACTGCACACACCGTAATCCATGCTGGTCTGCACGTATCTTCAGAACAATGTCAACAAACTGCTTGGGAGACAGAGGCATTCAACCCAGTCTTCCTTGCTGTCCCCAAGAGCTGTCATAAGTTTAGTGATAAGCACTGATGTAAGCATTTGTGGATTGAAGCTATGGGGATTAAAACAAATAAGTGGGGAACATGTATAAATAATTTTTGCTCAGCTAATACACAGATACTAAGTACGGAGCAGTTTCAGACTGCAATCCTACACTCACTCACCTTGG